GTTAACTTTCTGGTTTTGATAACTGCACTGTAGTTTTGTAAGATGATTACACTGGTATGAAATGAGTAAAGAGCATATATGAACTCTAAAAAAAATCGTAAGTGTCTCAAAAGATAACATTCAAAAACATTTCTAAAAGCCTCCTAACAAACTAAGAGTAAAAAAATTATATTTTGACAGAAAATATAAAAACGCCAGGGTCTAGAGGAAACTATCATGGTTAAAGGTGAAATAATGAAAGCTTTCCTTGCATATCAGGAACAACACAGGGATACAAGGATACATATTCACACCAGTTGTTTTCATCACTGTATTGGCAATCTCAGCCAGTACAATAAAGCAAAAAAAAGAAAAATGGTTACCACACTTGGGAAGAAATGCCCAACAGGTAAAATATCAGGTCTACCTCCACATATTAGTAATACACAATTACACAGCAGCTGTCTCATGTTCATGGATTAAAAACTCAATACTGAAAAGGTGCCATTTCTCCCTATAGTAAGTTGTAGATTAAGTGGAATCCCAATAAAAATACCAGCACATTTTTTGAAGACAGATTGCCACACTGATTCTAAAATTTATCTGAAAATACAAAAGACCAAGATTAGCTAAGGAAATCTTGAGGAATAGGCAGCACTGAGGAGGCTGAGGCAGGCAGATCACTGTGAGTTCAAGACCAGCCTGGGCTACAAAGGGAGCTCAAGGCCAGCTTGAACTGCACAGCGAGACCGTCTCAAAAAGACAAAAAAAAAAACAAAGAAAAAAAATCTTGAGGAACAAAGGTGGACAACTTCAATTACCAGATCTCAAGACATGCTAAGTCTACAGTGTGCTATTTTTGCAAAGATGACAAAAAGATCAATGGAGTAAAGGAGAATTCAGAAACAGACCCATATATTTACAGTCACTTGAAGAGGTGACAAAGATGGCACTGCAGAACACAGTGGAAAAGCACAGTCCTTTTAATGAATGATGCTGGATCAATCAGACATCCATATGTTAGAGGGGGGGGGAAAAGTAATCTCGCCCTCTATCTCATACCATAAAGTCAATTTTGGATGAAAAATAACACTTTTACAAGACAATGTAAGACAGAATCTTCACAAACTTGATCTAGCAGATTTCTTAAATACGACACAATTAAACATTACTGAAAAGACTGATCAACCAAGCTACATTAAAATGTAAAACTTTTGCTTATCAAAAAAGATACTGATGAGAGCTGGGCATGGTGACACACCTGTAATCCTAGCACTCAGGGAAGCTGAGGCAGGAGGATTACAGTGAGGCCAGCCTGGGCTACATCATGAATGCAAGGTCAGTCCCAAACTACATAGTGAGACCCTATTTTAAAAACCCCCAAAAATAAATAAAAAGGATAGTAATGAGAAAGTGAAAAGGCAAACACAGTATAAAAACAATCCACCATACATACAATATATGTGCTCAGAATATATGAAGATCTCTTAAATCATTGAGAAAAGAGCCCAGCCACAAAATGGGCAAAAGAAAATTCACAAAAAGACATCCAAATGGTCAATGAACATGTTCAGAGAAGCTCTAGGTATGCATGCTGATTACTCACCAGGGAGCAGCAAATTCAAACCATGCTGAACTGCCTCTCCCACTAAACAGACACCAGGACAGCTAACACAAAAGAATGAGCAATACCAGGTGTGAAGCTCATACGAACAACTGACTTCTCACATGCTGTTGGTGACAGTACAACTGCCACTTTCGGCAATATCTCTTAAGGCTGAACAAACGCACATGCGATCTATCACTCCACAATTCCACTCTTTTTTTGTTTTTTAAAACAGTGTCTCGGTATAAAAAGCCCAGGAGAGACTCAAACTCACAATCCTCTTGCCTCAGTTTCATAAGTGCTGGGATTACAGACATGTGCCACCACGCCCAGCTGCAGCGTCACTCTTGTATACCACAGAAATAATACAAAAAAATACTCAGGAAGAATTTATAAAAAACTGGAATCAACCCAAATGCTTATGAATGGCAAAAAGAACAAATTTTGTTATATCTGTATGCTGGATTACCAGACAGCAGATGAGAACAAGCACATAACATAAGACAACACAGGTGAATCTCACAAACAATGAAACAACCAAGAAACACAATGTATGTATTATTTTACTTCACTTAGTCAAGAAGAGACAAAAAATAATCAATAGTGAGACATCAAGACCATGGTTAGAATTGGAGAGTTACAAGGACTCCTCACTTAACCACCAAATTCTATTCTTGTCACTAATTCATTAAAAGAACTGGTTGCTAACTGAGGAATTGTATATAGTATGTACATTACAATATTCACAACAAAGAAATAGTCAAAGGAAACTTCAACTTGATATTTGCATAACTTTTATTTGCTTTTATTTGCATAACTTATGCAATATGGTATTATAATGTACAACAGAACATAAAACTACAGTACTATACAGTACCATTGGCAAAAATTATACTACTGTATAAATAAGGTATACTGTATAAAAAGAGACATCAAGGCTATATAAACAGGATGTAGAACTGTACCCAAAAGAAAAAAAAAAGGTCATAAGTCTGAGCAGGTCACTAAGTCCAAACGGTTGTTAAACAGGTAGGTCATTAAATGAGGAACATCTGTACTAGAAACAAGAAAGGGACTTCCAGTGTTCCATCTTTTTAGAACTGTTTCTCAAGTGTGTTGACTCTATGGAAAGTTCACTGAGAAGTACACTTCCTATCTGAGAATATTTCTGATATATGCTATAGCTGGGGGTTAAACCTAAGGCCCTCACACTGAGTTTCACTTCCCACCCCCTTTTTATTTTTTATTTAAGACAGCTGCTAAGTTTCTCAGGTTGGGCTCAAATTTCTGATCCTCCTGCCTCAGCCTCCCTAAGGGTTGGGGATTCCAGGCATGTACTACCATGGCCAGCCTTTTATTTAATTTTTTAAAGTACAGTACATTCTGACTTGGCAACCTAACGTTCCAAGAGTACACAGGGCACTTACTTGACACACCTACCTGCTCACACAACTAACCACCAAAAATAAGCCTGATTGCAGGAAAGGAAAGGGACCAAAACAAGTTTATTTCATGTTTTCTATGTTTCTGAAATACTGCAGTCAGGTGCTCAGGTGGTGACGAAAGCTGTTGGCATCATCACATTATGCACTCAACTAAGCATTTCCATGCTGCTACACTGAGCAGCAGCCAGAAACAAGTCACCGGGCAACATCTCACCAGCAGGTGTGACAACACCCACTGACTGAAACCAACTGTACAAAACTCCTGTCACTTCCCTCTCAAGTCCTGTGTGCCTGTTCTTTCCAAAAACTGAACACATAAGTGCTGTATTAGATAAACACTTCACTATATATATATATAATATATATATCAAATTACATTAAATCTATTACAAAAACAGAACTAAACCACCAAAAATTTACAAACACTTGTATACACAATAAAATCCTTAACATAAATTGCTCCCTATTACCTCCCTATACAAATATAAGTTGGCCAATTTTTTTTTTTCTGTCTTTTTTGCTACCTGCAGTTCAGCTGGCCTTGAACTCACTTATGTAGTCCAGGCTGGCCTCAAACTTGAAATGATCCTCCTGCCTCAGCCTCCCAAGTGCTAGGATTACAGGTGTGCACCACCACGCACAACCCAAATTGGCCAATTCTTTTAATCTTGTTATAATAAAATCTGACCTAAGTAAACTTTGTAATTTATAAGATTCCAATGATAAAAATCTTAATGTGGGCTGAGGATGTAGCTCAGTGACAGAGCACTAGCCAGGTATCAATGAAGCCCTATTTCAACTCTCAGCTCTACAAAAACAAACAAACAAACCACTTAATGATTCTTTAACCAACAAAAGGAACATATAGCAATAACATCAAATTATTGTTTCTAAAAAGGAAATTCAAATGCTTGGCTTATCAATCTTTCACGAGAACTGACTACAGCCAAAAAATACATTAGGGCTAGTAATTATTCATTTGCTAATTTATCACTGCAAAGCCATCGTGACAGTATAAATATATGCTTATTCAGGTCTACCTGAATGTACCATAAAGGCAACTATTATGAATAAGTAAAATGGTACCTTGACAGCTTATAAACTCCTAAATAGTAACCTACTTATCTCCCACTATGCTGTGTACCATTTACCTTACATTTTTCTAGTTTTACTATGTTCTCCTTTCACATACCATTAAGTCTCCATTTAATTAAACACAAAAGGCTTTGAAACAATGGCTTGAATGTAATATACTTACAGAAACAACTACAGTTGTTCGAAACTTTAAAATTCTAGTCTACCAAGGAGAAAGTTCCTAAAGAGTCAATTTCCAGGGGCCAGGGATTTAGCTCAGTGGCACAGTGCCTGCCTGGCAAGTGTGAGGTCCTGGGTTTGACTCCCAGTATCCCTCTCCAAAAAAGAATCAATTTCCAGTCTTCTATCGCTTATTTCAAGTGTGATTTATAAAACACAGGTGTTCTGATAAAGATAGGCTGTAAAAATTTTCTCTGTGAATTCAAACCTACTTGTCTACTCAGTTTCCTTAGAAAACTGGAAATCCCTGAGATACACAGTCTATGGGAAATACACAAGCAATTCCAGAGATACAAACCATAGGAGGTCTGCATTAAGAAGAGATCTCATACAACAGAATGAAAGGAACCATGTAGCCTGGTTGTTGCTTCATGGTCCTTTTAAAAAACCTTCAAAGTGCATTCCCAAATCTAAGCAGCTCCTCAAAGATAGGAATGAGAGTAATAAAATATTTTCATATGACTTTAGAGAACATTAGTTTGGTCTCCCTGAGAAGTTTAATTCCCAGGAACTCTGTATGCGCTCACAGATACCAGGAACCACCATTTCACCAGTGGTTACACAAAATAACGCCAGGTACATTAACAAAAGATGGTATCATAGAAAGACACTTAGAGGAAAAAAACCCTGTAGTTTCACGTGAAAAACACACATACCTGTGGAAGTGCAGTATTGAGCTGTCTCTGCAAGGAGTCTCTTTCATGACCAACCTCGTGTAATTTCCCCTGGGTCAATGCCAATGTTTCTTGAGTCTCTCTCAGTGTGTCGAGAAGACGGTCCCTTTCTTCTAGCATGGAGACCATGAGCTGTTCAAAATGGGAATCTGCATCTGGCTGTGAAGGGGAGCCAGACCCATGGCTTGCACTTCCTCCTGGGGGGCCTTCTGCTTCACTGATAGTGGGCATCACCTCGCACATCATCTTGAAACAAAAAACCCAGACAAGAGAGTCATTAAGCACACAACACAGGTTCCCACAAACCTACAACTTTATGAGTATCGGTAGCTAATAAAGGAAATCTGACAATTTCCTTATTCTCAGATCTGTTATTCTTTGTATGCAGATGCTCTGTGAAGATATACACAGGCAAACACTAAGCCGCACCATAAAGACATTAAAGGAGCCAACAATCCAGAGAAGAAGCAAGGACCAAAGAGAACTACCTACTTCTCCTATAAAAAGCAAAAGCTGTTAAGTTTTGTTTGCAAAACCAGACTTTCAGTTTAAAAAGAAGTGTGCTTCTGTTACCCATTTTTTCTATTTCCCGGTAGGGGCACATGCCACCCAATCATTTCTCAGGAAAAGCACAGAAGGAGTATACAGCCAGGAAAACTGACAAGCACAGAATCCACCAGGCATCTTACAAGAATGTGTGCAGTCAGCTCCTGGGAAGGACTGCCGGCTCCCTGAATTCTTGGGCTGCATGTAGTGAACATTGAAAGGAACTGGATTCGCTAAGGCTCAAGAGAGGTGTTTTTCAATGGCTGCAATGGCTGGTCAGTCAACCTAACTTACGTAAGTTTATAGCTAAAAAAAAAAAAAAAAGATTCCACAATGGAAATACTGCAGGTCAATACACTGGAAAACGTCTAGGAAGGAAGGAAAGGTGAAAGGTGAGATTATGAGAGGCTATTAAGTGTGTCACAACACCGACGGGCTGAAGAGGGCGAAAGGGGCCGCTTGAGGACTTCCAGGCAGTATCCCTGGCAGGAGCGAACCTCAAGCAGGAGATGCCCGCGACCCCAAGCACACACCTGACGACGGTGACCTCTAGCACCGCATCGGGCGCTGCAAGTGCCGGCCCCACTTACCCTAGCGCTTGCCCGGATGCGGCCACAGGTGCGCGGCCGCAGTCCCAACGCCTGGGTCACCGGGGCGACGGGTCAGGGAGGGGGCGACGCGCAGCGGTTAGAACCCGTCCCTCGAGGCACAGAGGGTCCCGCAGGGCGAGCGCAGGGCCAACCGCCAGCCAGGCGCCGGAGCTTCGTCCTCGCCCGCCCCGACCCTCGGGTGACATCTGGCGCGCGGCCCCCCGGCGCGCTCCGCCCGTCCTGCCTCAGTCTCCCGCTCCTTACCTTGCTCGCCGGCGAGAGCGGCGAGGAGGCTCCGC